ATAGTTTAGGAACTAAAACTAGGCATTCCTCTAAAAGTGCAAAGCCAACCCTCCTTGCTGTCTCTGGAAATGATTGGGTTAGTGTTTCAAAGAATAAAAATGCATAGATGTGATTATTATATTTGATCCTGGCATAGCGTCCAGCTCATGGTACCTACCCAGTAAATGCCAGCTGAATTGGAACAAATGTATACACTAGGCACACAGCAATGTTGTTTTTATGGATAATTTTAACAGGAAAACCTAAGAATAAACTGGTGTTTAGAAAAGATCCTCTGAGGGGTGCCCCAGAGGCTCAGTTGGTTAAGCCTCCAACCCTTGGTTTCGGCTCAGGTCATCATCTCAGGGTCTTGAGATCAAGCCCCGCATCAGGCTCCGCTCTTGACACTGAGTCAGCTTGAAGATTCTCTCTCCCTCTGCCCCTTGCCGTGCTCATGCTCTTTAAATAAATAAATAAATAAATAAAATCTTTAGAAAAGGTCCTCTGACACAGTGGTTTTCAACTGGGGGCAATTTTCAGTCGTCGTGACAGTGGGGAGAAGGGAAGACTGCTGCCATCTAGTGGGCAGAGACCAAGGATTCCGCCAACATTGCCCATGACAGCCTCACACAACAATTACCCGGTCCAGAATCTCAACACCGCCACTGTTGCGAAACCCCACCCTAAACACACACCTACATATACATAAACACAGACACACAACAGCAAGAACAAGAACAGCAAAACAAAACAACTTGAGGCTTCGTTAGAATATGAAGAATAAAGATGGGCTCCCTACCCCTGTTATTTTCCCTGATTAAAGCTGGTTGACAGAAAAGTAAACAAGATATCACCCTTTAGCACTACCCCAGCCCTCTGACCTATTCAAGTAGTTGGTCATGAGTTCCTGTAGTTTTTATATAACCTTCAAAGTAACATATCTATTTCCTTTTTAAAAATATTGTTTCTAGGGGCACCTAGTGGCTCAGTTGGTTGAGCATCCAACTCTTGGTATCGACTCAGGTCATGATCTCACAGTCGTGGGATGAAGCCCCATGTCCGGCTCTGCGCTCAGTGCAGAGTCTGCATCAGATTCTCTCTCCCTCTCCTGCTCTCTCTCTCTCAAATAAATTAATTAAATATTTTTTTAAAAATATCATTTCTAGGGGCACTTGGGTGGCTCAGTCAGTTAAGCATCCAACTCTTGATTTTGGCTCAGGTCACGATCTCAGGATTGTGAGATCGAGCCCTGCATTGGACTCTGTGCTGGGCATGGAGCCTGCTTAAGATTCTCTCTCTCTCACTCTGCCCCTCCCCTAAAAAATATTTTTTTAAATATTGTTTCTATACATTTTCCATGCCTCTACATGATCTTTACTGTCAAATAGATTTTCAGGCACTTGAGGACACCATCAATTTTTTAAGGTTTTAAATATTTTTTTTCAAATATCTGTTCCATGTTCCATTTAGTCCTTAATCTCTTTTTATTTTCAGCTAATGTACAGTGTTATGTTACTCATGTGAAAATTTAAAAATGGACTTGTCTAGAAAAGAGAACAGAACCAACTTTATATATTCTAGAAGCTCTTGGAATGTTACTACCCAGAATTTTTTACTTTCCTTTCTTTCCAGAAGTCTTTTATCAAAAAAGAAGGAGGAGTGGGGTGGCTGGGTGATAGGCATTGGGGAGGGTATGTGCTACGGTGAGCGCTGTGAATTGTGCAAGACTGTTGAATCACAGATCTGTACTTCTGAAACAAATAATGCAATATATGTTAAGAAAAAAGAAAAAGAAGAAGATAGCAGGAGGGGAAGAATGAAGGGGAGGAAGTCGGACGGGGAGACGAACCATGAGAGACGATGGACTCTGAAAAACAAACTGAGGGTTCTAGAGGGGAGGGGGGTGGGGGGATGGGTTAGCCTGGTGATGGGTATTAAAGAGGGCACGTTCTGCGTGGAGCACTGGGTGTTATGCACAAACAATGAATCATGGAACACTACATCAAGAACTAATGATGTAATGTATGGTGATTAACATAACAATAAAAAATCTGCTCTGAAAAAAAAAGGAGGAGGAGGTCTTTTTTTCAAGTATTCAAACAGCTCAAAGTGCAATTGCCTTGTCTTTAGCCTGTCAACGAATTTCTTTTTTTTTTTTAAGACTTTATTTATTTGACAGAGAGAGACACAGCGAGAAAGGGAACACAAGCAGGGGGAGAGGCAGAGGGAGAAGCAAACTTCGCGCCGAGCAGGGAGCCGGATGTGGGGCTTGATTCCAGGACCCTGGGATCATGACCTGAGCTGAAGGCAGACGCTTAACGACTGAGCCACCCAGGCGCCCCCACCAAGTTTTTTTTGTTTTTTTTTTTTGTGATTAGTCTCATCTCGTCAAATTTTTAAATAATTTTAAACAAAACAAAAAAGAATATTCCTCTGAAGCCCTTCACTTAAAATCTGAAGTAGTTTCTCCTCTGTAAAATCTAACACTGTTGTGTTCTCTGAGTCCCTGTTGTAGCTGGTACCATTAGATCTTTTAGCCTCTGTGGTAACTATTGAATAATGATCAGGTTTCCATGTCTGTTTCTCTCACTAGACTTTGAGCACCTCAGGGTCAGGCAAACTTACTAATCTATGTACTTCCTATCCCCCCAGAAGCTGGCTTGTGGTAGATGTCGATAAATATTTGTAGAATACGGTAATGATAGGCTAAACACATACTGAACTGTGGGCAGCATTATAAGGTTTAGCACTTATTTGTCTCTGATATTTTCCTGAGTTTACTTGTGTTCTTTCTAGGTGTTTCAGGCGTCCACTGTGCCCAGCCATGGGTAAAAGAATCCAAGGGCATAAACCACATTTTATACTTCCACTAGAATTTTTATTGATTATGAATTGGGGAAAGTGCCAAATTAGCCTCCAGGAGAACAGGATTCTCACATCCACAGAATTGAAAACTAGCAAATTATTCTTTAGATCATCTATTCAGTTGTCCCTGACAGGCCACCAAATTAGCCCGGTACCACAGATCCAAAGCCCGGAAGTGAATTGGGAGACTCTCTAGAAAGTATCCCTGAATCATGGACTTCCTTATTTTCTTTTTCCTTCTTCCATTCTTACTGAAGCAGATCTCTTTGAACTATGCTAAGTTCTTTGCTTAAATTTTTGCATCCTGGGGCGCCTGGGTGGCTCAGTCATTAAGCGTCTGCCTTCGGCTCAGGTCATGATCCCAGCGTCCTGGGATCGAGCCCCGCATCGGGCTCCCTGCTCAGCGGGGAGCCTGCTTCTCCCTCTCCCGCTCCCCCTGCTTGTGGTCCTTCTCTTGCTGTGTCTCTCTCTGTCAAATAAATAAATAAAAAATCTTAAAAAAAAAAAACTTTTGCATCCTAGTTTTTCCAAATATATAAACAACATATAAAATATATTTGAAGAGAGAGAGAGAAAGGCTCTGGTGTGCAGTGAGTATACTGAAAGTAAAAGGCTTTAAGTTGAAGAATAATACTAATTCTTGTCATCTGGTGAAAACTGAATATGAAAATCACTTGAAACTATTTTCAGAACTCTGCAAGAATACTACATGGAGACATGCAACAAATATACTAAGACTCTTGACAAGCAATTTCAGTCATTTCCACAATTCCTTGACATGAAGTTGTTTGCCAGCTTGTTTCTAAAGCAAGTTCACGATTCAGAATCTGCTTGTTAATCATTCTCTCACTAATCCTCCCAAGCTCTTGTGTTACTTGATAAAGCCTATTAACTTTATTACTTTCCGCATTTTATGGTTGGAAAATGCCAGCTGCAAGGTTGCGTAATGAATGTATTCTTAAGGTGAGACGAGGACTCTTCATCACCATTTTGCTGCTCTGCTTGAGGGAGAAAATAAGTGTACCAAGGACTCAACCAACAGTATTCACCCATCTCAGTAAAACCCCAGCCATTCATCGTCTTGAGAGCACACTAGACTCACTTGGGGAACTTTAAAAAATAGTGCTGCCTGGCTCTCACCCCCAGAGAGTCTGGCATAGGAATTTTAAAGCTCCTTGGGTGATTTTCATGTGCAGCTTGACATTCACTGCACTTGAAGTCCCCAACACCCATCTTACCCAAATTAGTAAAACTTACTTAAAATCACCAATTGCTTACTGTATTTCTGAAATAATTCTCAGATAATCTACTCTTGAACTAACTGCTCTGAGTGGAAGGGCTCCTTGGCTTGTTTCCTAATAGCCAGGTACCAACACAAATGAATATTTAACTATTCTGTTAATACTTATCCTGATCAAAAGCTGGGTTTTTTTTTTTCCCTTTCCTTTCTTTTTTCTTTCTTTTTTTTTTTTAAGTAGGCTCCATGCCCAGCATGGAGCCCTACCGGGGCTTGAACTCATGACCCTGAGATCAAGACCTGAGCTGAAAAAAAAAAAAAGACGTGAGCTGAGATCAAGAGTCAGACACTTAAACTGAGCCACCCAGATGCCCCTCAAAAGCTATTTTTAAAAATGAGGATTTCAGGAAACAGTTCTCCCTGTATTAGAGCTTAATTCCTTCCTTCTACTTAATAACTTAATTCCTTACAAAATGTTTTTTGGTTGTCCTGAAAAGAATTTCTAATTGTCTGAAATAGGTAAGGTTAAAGATATCCAGCTAAAATCTTTTATGTTAAATATAATATCAACAATGTCCAGTCACATAAAACTCATCTAATTTCATTTGCCTTCATATTTGGTGCTCACTAAATGAAAACCTGATGGCTAACAAAGAGTTCTCTGTATTTTTTTTAATTGGTTTTAGTTCTTCCTTACACAAATCTTTCTTTTTCCAGACTTAAAGCATCTGGGTGCAAGCATTCTCCTCATATAGTTTGGTCAAAATCAACTCGCAGACATGAACATTGCTGATATCATTTGACAAAGAACATGAACCAAAGACAAACAGGTGGAACTAATTTTTTTTTCTGTAGGAAATATTTGGTTCTACAGGAATCTAGAATTTCAGATACTGCTCTTCAAAACCAAGTACTTACATTTTCTAGGAGGCAAACAGCGGCAGGATTTCCATGAAATGCTTTTGCTGTAAATGCATCTACTACAAAAACAGGGAGCTTCATTTTTCTTGCTCTCAAAATTGCTGGTACCTGCTCTACTTCTACTTGTTGAAAAAATCAGGAAGTTAATGTTTTACTTGGTGTACAGAAGCAACCAATGACCCAGGTCAAGCAATGACTCCAATACACCTACATTTAAAGATAGGTGATCCCCTAATATTTAAGTCTCTAAATTGAATTTGTTTTAAAATACTGGATGAGGGGCGCCTGGGTGGATCAGTCCTTAAGCGTCTGCCTTCGGCTCAGGTCATGGTCCCAGGGTCCTGGGATCGAGCCCCTCATCGGGCTCCCTGCTCGTGGGAAGCGTGCTTCCCCCTCTCCCACTCCCCCTGCTTGTGTTCCCTCCCTCGCTGTGTCTCTCTCTGTCAAATAAATAAATAAAATCTTAAAATAGAATAAAATAAAATACTGGATTAATAGGATATTTAATTTTCAAATTTTGTATTGATATTTATACTGAATGTATACTTAAGAACATAATCATATCATTTCTTAGAGTAGCCAAACTAGCTTAGGTTATGTTTTTAATGAAGTGCTTGAAATGTCCAAGGGGACGTGTTGCAAGATTTCTTTTCCTTCAGCTCGTGGTTCTCTGTCACACTGCACGAAGAATGAAGAGGTAGACCAGACGAAGAGTGGTGGGCAGCAAAGCAAAGTTTATTGAGCGATAGCACAGAGCTCCTGAAGAGGAAGGGGACCCGAGAGGGTTGCCACTAGAGTTTCTAAGTCTAGGTTTTAGCAGCTTGTTGGCTCTGTTTTAATCTGATTAACCCTCCAGGCGCCTGTCACCAATCTAGTTTTCGTCATCTAACTATCACATGGGAAAGGGTGGAGGGTTCCTTCCAGGGAGGTGTAAAATCCTTTATTTTTATTTTTTTAATTCAATTAATTAATATATAGTATATTATTAATTTCAGAGGTAGAGGTTAAGTGATTCATTAGTCTTATATAACACCCAGTGCTGATTACATCACATGCCTTCCTTAATGCCTGTCACCCAGTTACTCCATCCCCCCAGCCCCCTCCCCTCCAGGAACCCTCAGTTTTTTCCTATGATTAAGAGTCTCTTATGGTTTGTCACCCTCTCTGATTTCGTCTTGTTTTATTTTTTTCCTCTCTTTCCCTATGATCCTCTGTTTTGTTTCTTAAATTCTACATATGAGTGAGATCATATGATAATTGTCTTTCTCTGACTGACTTATTTTGCTTAGCATAATACCCTCTAGTTCCATCCACGTCGTTGCAAATGGCAAGATTTCATTTTTTTTTTGATGACTGAGCAGTATTCCATTGTGTATATATCCACATCTTCTTTACCCATTCAACAGTCAATGGACATCTGGGCTCATCTTACAGTTTGTCTATTGTGGACATTGCTGCTATAAACATTGGGGTGCACATGCCCCTTCAGATCACTACATTTGTATCTTTGGGGTAAATACCAAGTAGTGCAATTGCTGGATCATAAGGTAGCTCTATTTTCAACTTTTTGAGGAACCTCCATACTGTTTTCCAGAGTGGCTGCACCAGCTTGCATTCCCACCAACAGGGTAGGAGGGTTTCCCTTTCTGGGCATCCTCACCAACATCTGTCGTTCCTGACTTGTTCATTTTAGCCATTCTGACAGGTGTGAGGTGGTATTTCATCGTGGTTTTGATTTGTATTTCCTTGATGCCCAGTGATGTTAGGCATTTTTCATGTGTCCGTTGGCCATTGAATTATTTGTTCTTTGGGTGTTGAGTTTGATAAGTTCTTTATGGATTTTGGATACTAGCCCTTTATCTGATATGTCATTTGCAAATATCATCTCCCATTCTGTCGGTTGTCTTTTGGTTTTGTTGACTGTTTCCTTTGCTGTGCGAAAGCTATTTATCTTAATGAAGTCCCAATAGTTCATATTTGCCCTTGTTTCCCTTGCCTTTGGAGACGTGTCTAGCAAGAAGTTGCTGCGACCGAGGTCACAGAGGTTGCTGCCTGTGTTCTCCTCTAGGATTTTAATGGATTCCTGTCTCACATTTAAGTCTTTCATCTATTTTGAGTCTATTTTTGTGTATGGTGTAAGGAAATGGTCCAGTTTGATTCTTCTGCATGTAGCTGTCCAATTTTCCCAACACCATTTGTTGAAGAGACTGTCTTTTTTCCATTGAATACTCTTTCCTGTTTTGTGGAAGATTAGTTGACCATAGAGTTGAGAGTCCATTTCTGGGTTCTCTATTCTTTTTTTTTTTTTTTAAGATTTTACTTATTTATTTGATGGAGACAGAGAGAGAGGGAACATAAGCAGGGGGAGTGGGAGAGGGAGAAGCAGGCTTCCCGCCAAGCAGGGAGCCCAATGTGGGGCTCGATCCCAGAACCCTGGGACCATGACCTGAGCCGAAGACAGACACTTAACGACTGAGCCACCCAGGCGCCCCTGGGTTCTCTATTCTGTTTCTTTGATCTATGTGTCTGTTTTGTGCCAGTACCATACTGTCTTGATGATCATAGCTTTTAATAGAAGTTGAAGTCCAGAATTGTGATGCCACCAGCTTTGCTTTGCTTTTTCAACATTCCTCTAGCTATTTGGGGTCTTTTCTGGTTCCATACAAATTTTAGAATTATTTTTCTAGCTCTGTGAAAAAAGTTGATGGTATTTTGATGGGGATTGCATTGAATGTGTAGATTGCTCTAGGTAGCATAGACATTTTAACAGTATTTGTTCTTCCAATCCATGAGCATGGAATGTTTTTCCATTTCTTTGTGTCTTCCTTAATTTCTTTCATGAGTTCTATGGTTTTCTGAGGACATATCCTTTGCCTCCTTGGTTAGGTTTATTCCTAGGTATCTTATGGGTTTTGGTGCAATTGTAAATGGGATCGACTCCTTAATTTCTCTTTCTTATGGGGCGCCTGGGTGGCTCAGTTGGTTAAGCATCTGCCTTCAGCTCAGGTCATGATCCCAGGGTCCTGGGATCGAGACCCGCATCAGGCTCCCTGCTCTGTGGGAAGCCTGCTTCTCCCTCTCACACTCCCCCTGCTTGTGTTCCCTCTCTTGCTGTGTCTCTCTCTATCAAATAAATAAATAAAATCTTAAAAAAAAAAAAAAGAAAATTCCTAGAAGCAGAAATGTTTGACTTTAAAAAAAAATTTCTCTTTCTTCTGTCTCGTTATTAGTGTATAGAAATGCAACTGATTTCTGTGTGTTGATTTTATATCCTGCCACACATTCCTGAAGTTCCTATATGAGTTCTAGCAATTTGGGGGTGGAGTGTTTTGGGTTTTCCAAATAGAGTATCATGTCATATGCGAAGAATGAGAGTTTCACTTCTTTGCTGATTCGGATACCTTTCATTTCTTTTTGTTGTCTGATTGCTGAGGCTTATAAGACTTCTAATACTATGAACAACAGTGGTGATAGTGGACATCCCTGCTGCGTTCCTGACCTTAGGGGAAAAACTGAGACTAATATTCGCTGTGGGCTTTTCATATGTGGCTTTTATGATATTGAGGTATGTACCCTCTATCCCTACACTGTGAAGAGTTTTCATCAAGAAAAGAGGCTGTACTTTGTCAAATGCTTTTTCTGCATCTATTGAGAGGATCATATGGTTCTTGTCCTTTCTTTCATTGATGTATTATATCACATTGATTGATTTGTGGTTGTTGAACCAAACTTGCAGCCCAGGAATAAATCCCACTTGGTCATGGTGAATGATCCTTTTAATGTACTGTTGAATCCTATTGGCTAGTATCTTGGTGAGAATTTTTGCATCCATGTTCATCAGGGATATTGGTCTGTAATTCTCCTTTTTGGTGGGGTCTTTGTCTGGTATTGGGATCAAGGTAATGCTGGCCTCGTAGAAAGAGTTTAGAAGCCTTCCTTCCATTTCTATTTTTTTTAAACACTTCAGAAGAATAGGTATTAATTCTTCTTTAAATGTTTGGTAGAATTCCCCTGGGAAGCCATCGGGCCCTGGACTCTTGTTTGTTGGGAGATTTTTGATTACTACTTCAATTTCCTTGCTGGTTATGGGTTCAGGTTTTCTATTTCTTCCTATTTCATTTATGGTAGTTTATATGTCCCTAAGGATGCATCCATTGCTTCCAGATTGCCTAATTTGTTAGCATATAGTTGCTCATAATATGTTCTTATAATTGTTTGTATTTTTTTGATGTTAGTTGTGATCTCTCCTCTTCCATTCATGATTTTATTTATTATTTACTTATTTGGGTTCTTTCTGTTTTCTTTTTGATAAGTCTGGCCAGGGGGTTATCAATCTTATTAATTCTTTCAAAGAACTAGCTCCTAGTTTTGTTGATCTGTTCTACAGTTCTTTGGGTTTCTATTTCATTGATTTCTGCTCTAATCTTTATTACTTCTCTTCTCCTGCTGGGTTTAGGCTTTATTTGCCATTCTTTCTCCAGCTCCTTTAGGTGTAAGGTTAGGTTGTGTATTTGAGACCTTTCTTGTTTCTTGAGAAAGGCTTGTATTGTACTTCTCTCTTAGGACCCCCTTTGCTGCATCCCAAAGGTTTTGAACAGTTGTGTTTTCATTTTCATTTGTTTCCATGAATTTTTTTAAAGATTTTATTTATTTATTTGCCAGAGAGAGAGAGAGAGAGAGAGGGAACACAAACAGGGGGAGTGTGAGAGGGAGAAGCAGGCCTCCTGCCAAGCAGGGAGCCCAATGCAGGGCTCAATCTCAGGACCCCGGGATCATGACCTGAGCCTAAGGCAGACACCTAACAACTGAGCCACCCAGGCGGCCCACGTTTCCATGAATTTTTTTTAATTCTTCTTTAATTTCCTGGTTGACCCATTCATTCTTCAGTAGGATGCTCTTTAGCCTCCATGTATTTGAGTTCTTTCCAAATTTCTTGTGATTGAGTTCAAGTTTCAAAGCACTGTGATCTGAAAATATGCAAGGAATGATCCCAATCTTTTGGTACTGGTTGAGACCTGATTTGTGACCAGTATGTGATCTATTCTGGAGAAGGTTCCATATGCACTTGGAAGAATGTGTATTGTATTCTGTTGCTTTAGGGTGGAATGTTCTGAATAGGT